TGTCTGTTGGGGGAGATGATTTGCTTTTGCTTTGGGGGGGAAGTGTGACTGAAGCTACTAACGAGCATGTTCAAGAATCCTGTATATTACACAGATTATATACTCAAACACTGAAAGTAGAAATGAGGTACAATTTTGACTCTCATAACTTATCATGGTAATTATTAAAACTTACTCTGAACTTCAGTGCAAAGTTGCTTTAAATATCGGGTGAAAGCTCTGAAGTTGAGCCGCTTGGACGTGAATCCAGAATCCAGACTTCCTGCATATCAGTTGTGTAGGCTTTGGTGCGTTCCTTAAGTTCTCTAAGCCCCAGTTTTCCTTGCCCCAAAAGGGGGTGATAACAGCACTTGCTTCATAGGATTGTAGAGAAGATTCACATTAAATTCTTAGCATTGTGCCTAGTAAACAATGTGTGGTCTAATGTTATAACTATCTTACCGCGGTGAATCCCGACACGAAAATGACAATTTGGTTCTTTCATCATTCTGTCCTTGATGGAGCTGATGTTAGCATTCCAATCCCTTGCAATTCAAAACTCGTGAATGATTTTTGTACATTTTTTTATAAGAACTTTCCATCAGGCAGATACTGCAAGTAGACCTGCTTTTAGAAATGAAATGTATGGCAGTGGGATTTTATTCCTCATGTAAAACAACATTTCAGAGGCAACAAATGATTACTTTTTAGTGTGTGTGTGTGTGTGTGTGTGTGTGTGTGTGAATGCGTAGAAAAAGTCTAGAATGGAAATGTTTTCTTCCCCCAAAGGTGGTATCATGATATTATCTTTGAAAGGGCAGAAAACATATGTCCAACACTTCTTATTTTAAGAAGGTGCTAATATTCGAATTTATTCAGAAGTTAAGAGCAGACCAAGTTGCTGCTCTCAGAGGTAGGGTTCTGCAACAGAGATTCAGAAATTCTCCACACGGAGTTGCCACTGCCGCATGAGAGAGATTGGGGAAGATCCCCGTGAAGTCAGAGAGGATGGAAGGAACAGAGACAGATCCTCACACAGATTGTTACTAAACTCATGGAGATTAGGCAGGACAGACAGTAGGTGAGGACTGGTGATAGTTCTGCGCAGCCTGCTTTCACTTAGTACTAAACAACAAGGTGTGCTGAAGTAAGGATTTCCGATAGTATATGATATGACACCGTAAGGTAAGGATGAGGAATTAGGCCAGTCTTTTCTGCTGGACACTGTGAGGTGTCCCTGTAAAGAAATTCCCTAAGCTAATAAAATGGAGAAAAACCACATGCTGTTGGCTTCTCTCCAGGATTCCTAACACACATCCCCACTACTTAGGTGTCTGAGAGGTCCTGCCATGGAGATAGTAGTTTAAACCCAGTAAGTTTTGACTAAGGAACCTCCCTGTCCCCCAACAATACCTGTCACACTCACAACTTTATTGAAGGGTATTTTGAGAAACAAAGCGCTTTAAAAACCCTCTTTTACATCGCAATACCTGAACTATCAACTATATTAATTTGATTTAGGACTAATCTCAATCTATTTTTCTGAAGAATAATTCTATACACTCGTCTCCCACACCACAAGAAAAGTAACCATCAAGCAAAATGGTCTCAAAGACCTCTCAAAGAGGCAGAGAGGGAAAAACAGATAGGTTGGTGGTGGCCGAGGAAAGGGAGAAGATCATACACACTTTTGGGAGAACTGTGGTGTTCACGAGAAAGGTGATTTAAACAAATGGGGATTAAAACTCCTCAAAGAGCATTGCTTTTATGAAAAACAAATACTGTATGTAATTGTGAAATAAAGGATGGTGATGTATCGATTTTTGTCTTGCACTTTTCTTTTCCTAAGTACATTTGAAAGTAATATAGATAATGACTCCCAAATCCAGGATCTGTGCAATGATATGTACCTTTGTCAAATCTTCATTAGCTAATTAGACCATTTCCAGCAAGTAAATTGCTTTAAGAGATGAGAGCAGATTTTGTGAATATGTCCCCAAGATTTAAAAAAAAAATATGGTCTAACTTGCTAATAATCAAGCATATGGAGAGACGGGATTCTATGCCCAGTTTGGTTCTTCTTCTCTACCCCCAGAGAAGGAGAGGTGGATTTTGACACTACTGCTTGGGTTCAGGTGTGGGACGTGTGTAGTCGTTGAAAGCAGAAGGATCAGATCCTCTTCCAGTATCTTGGGAATAGCCAGTAGACAAATAAAAGAGCCCTAGGAGGCCAGGCCAGCGCCCCAGAACAAAGGTCTCCACTAAATTCAAGATGGTGTCCTTATCCCCGGTTCTCCCATTTTGCTCTGTCATCAAATCACATTCCCCTGCAGACCGGAAAGGCAATCAATGCCTATAAAACAGCACTGTATGAATTTTTCTTTTTTTCCAACATTTTGAGTAAGGGCGACAGCAGGCATATAAGTATTTCCACAATCTTGGTGGGAAGCCGATCTCTATCAGCAGGTTCAACTCTATTTGCAGTGACTCTGGTGGCAAGGGGAGTTTTTGTTCAGACAATCAGAATGCCAGCAAACGGTAACTGCTCCTTCATGCTGAGAAGTGGGAAATTCAATAATGCTTTGGCTGGGTTCATGCTGAGTAGCAAAAATAGAATGAATATGGAGAGGGACTGTGACTTGAAGAGCAGTAAATCAGCTAGGCCAGACGTTTGCAACAAGCAGCTTTTAATCTGAAGTCTCTCTTGTTACTACCCCATTATCCAGGGTAACAGGGCTGTTTTTGTACTTGTTCCTAGAGTGTTTTGTGCTGTTTACCGTAAAACTCAGAATTAAGTGCTCTGAGGTCTTTAAAAAAACAAAACAAAACAAAACACCTCTCTTTTCTTCTTCATATTATGTCACTACCAGACCATTTGCTGCTAGTCTTTACTACGAGTTAGCCTAACTGAGAAGGCAAAGTTGGTGTGGATATTACAGTAGTAATAGTGTCCCTTATTAGACCTGAACAGTTTTTTCTTCTGTAAGCAAAGTGACAAGTCTCAGTGGGGGGGTCACTAGAATGGAAGTCCCAGAACAGCAGGGATTTCGGTCTGTTTTCTTCACTGTTCTGTCAGCAACACCTAAGTGCTCTAAGAAGTCAATGAATGACCGTTAGTCTACAGACGGGGAAAAGTCTAGTCAGCTCTGAGCTCTCTGAGACGTCTCATACTAAAGCTCCAAGTGACGTCAGGTCTGCTGGCTTTTTGTTACATATGATCTTGCAGAATAGTTCTGACGTATGATTCTATGGAAGAGATTTTTAGCAGTATGTTTTTTTTTCAGAACTCGCATCAGCAAAACCTGATCCACATAGAGAAATTAGAAAATGGAAACAACCAACCAAAAACCATGTTTAAACTCCTCAGAGATAACCGCTGCTATGATATAACTGTATGACCTTCTGGATTTTCTTATGCGCATATTGATACATGCTGTAATGAGATTAGATTATATTTATTGCCTTTTTGATTTAACAGGATTACACGAACATCTGTTTTTACTAACAGACATCTATATGGCTTTTCTGTAGTATCGCAGTAGTGTATTTTAAGAATGTACCAGAACTTAACCAACCCCTATGATTGTACATTTAAGTTGTTTCTGGTCTTTTGCTTGACCATATTGGAAGAGAGTTGTGGAACTGGTTTTCACAAGGGTAACCTTTTGTATCATGGATCTGTCCCCCAGTCTGAGCCCTTCAAGCTGACCCACCTGTGTATTACCTTTCTTTGCCCACCCTGTGTTGTTAGAATCACTTCACCTCAAACAAGTGTTTGAGGAAATGACTCAGCACCAGCCCTGTCCTTCATACCTTTTACCTAATTACTCTACCTCATCAGTTTGCGATGATCATTTAACCTGGTTTTCCCTTTATTCATTCTTACACTGTCTCACTGACAATGCTCTCCAGGAGGACCAAGGAGAAGAGATGGTGCCAGTGGTGGGGGGCAGAGCACAAGGGGCACAGGGAAGAGGGATCAGTTAACACTTTATGTCTTTATGTGGCTTGACTGCTCGTTTCTTTTTATCACTGAATAATATCCCATTGTATAGATGTTCTACAATGTGTTTATGCAATTAACTATTGAAGGAATTCCTGGCTTACGGTTTTGGGCAATTAGGAATTAACTTCTATAAAACTCATGTACAGATTTTTATGTGGACATCAGTTTTCAAATCAGCTGGGTAAATACCTAGCAGCATAACTGTTGGATCGTGTGGTAAAACCATGACCGGCTTCCTAAGAGACTGTCAAAGTGTCTTCCAAAGTGACTGTAATACTTTACATCCCCTCCAGCGAGGAAGGGAGTCATGTCGCTCCTTGTCGTTCCCAGTGACGGGTGTCACCCACTCTGGTTTGGATTTTATCTGTCCCGATAGGTGTGTCGTGTGTATCATTGCTGTTTTAATCTGCAGCTGTGGCTTTCTGGCCGTGTGCATCTCTTCCTCAGTGAGGAGTCGGTTCAGATCGTTTGCTCCTTTGTAAACTGGGTTGTTGATTTCTCTTTACTGAATTTTAAGAGTTTTAAAAAATATTTTGGAGACAAGACTTTTATATATGTGTTTGGCAAATACTTCTCAGTGCTGTCTTTTTTTTTTTTTTTTTAATCACTTCTGGATCATGTGCCACTTTGCAGCCCTAAAAGCTCACATCTGGTGCTAAATGCTGGTCGGTCCTACGGCTCTGCTCACCTGTTTGCTTTGCTATTCCCAAAAGTGATCCCACTGTTCCCTTTCACTTCCTTCACTCGATCCACTCATTGTCAGAAAACATTCATCTTCCAGCATCCTCGTTGTCTCTCTCTAGGAACTTGTCTTTCTTTATTTTAAGTAAATGACCGAGGTGAGAATGTGTTTATTCATCTTTCTGTAGTGAGAGCCCCAGAGAGGGTCCCACTTGTCTGTTTCCTGCTTTGAAAGGAAACAGGTCTGGGGAGAGCCAATGGCCCATGGTGTTTAGGTGGTGCCACGTCATTAGTGAGGCTAATGGTTGTCTGTCTTCCTTTGCATGGCCGCCAGTCATCAAGGCTCCTCTGCGCCATTTTAAACGCCCTGCTTACGCATCTAGCTCCTACGCACCTTCAGTCCCAAAGAAAACCGATGACCATCCTGCGAGGTACAAGATGCTGGATCAGAGGATCAAAATGAAAAAGATTCAGAATATCTCCCATAACTGGAACAGAAAGTAGGTCACGGGGAAGAGAGGGAGTGAAGGAGAGGCCCACACCTCTGCCTGTCGGCTCTCACCAGCCAGAGTGGGATACGCTTCTAAGACCCTTGGAGGCTTTGGGGGCTGGTGCTTTTATAGTCAACTCCAGCAAGGCAAAGTGAAGGCCATGTGTGACTCTCCCCTTTGTCATTTTGTTATGGACCCATCCATCAGTGGATCTGGGAGTCAACACAGACTCCAGCAGTAAGAGGGTAGGTAGTCTCATATGGCTTTTATTTGTATATATATACAAATAAACTATATTTATATATAAATATAAATATATTTATATTCAAAGTCTAAATCAGACCCCAGTTAAAATGATGTATCCTCTTTAGAAAATTCCTCCCACTGACACTTCTTTTATCCCTAGAAGTTGACTTGCCCCGGTAAGAATATTGTTATAATAATCATCGTATTTAAGAAATGCACTTTTGGGGTGCCTGGGTGGCTCAGTCGGTTAAAGCCTCCGCCTTCGGCTCAGGTCATGATCCCAGGGTCCTGGGATCGAGCCCCACGTGGGGCTCTCTGCTCAGCAGGGAAACTGCTTCCCCCCACCACACCCTCTGCCTGCCTCTCTGTCTACTTGTGAGCTCTCTCTGTCAAATAAATAAATAAAATCTTTAAAAAAATGCACTTTTAAAAACAGCTTTTCCAATTTTAAACACAATAGGAAAAGATGTTTTTAGATGTACATTTCTTAAATACGGTGACTATGACAATATTTAAAATTCAGGCAAATATGTAACTTTCAAAGTAAAGCCATTAAAATTAAAAGCTCTGTTTCTGAATGTAACAATCAGAGGGATAAGAAGACTGATGAACAGTTGAGTTCATGGAGAATTCTGAACTGAGGCTCCACAAAGCAGATACAAGTCAAAAATAAAGACCCTTGCTTTGGTTGTCATTGGATGCTTCATGCCCGATGGCCTCATTTTGTACCTTTAGAGACATGAGAGTTTTCAGGAGACACATTTTGGCTCTACTTCTTCTAATTTGTTACTTTCACTTACAGTTGATGATGCTAGAAATCAATGGGATGCCCATGCCTCAGAGACTCCAGGTTTGAGATCTGCCCCAGGAGATGTCCCTTTGGTCTTGTGGGCCTGGGGCAGGAGGGTGTAAATTCCTGAACCTAATTTGAATCCCTTCCTTGCAGATTTTTGTCCATTAATTGGACAAGTTGGAGATACCTCTAAGTTAAATTCCAGATCAGTTTCCCAGCAGACCCTATAGCTGTGGCCCTTGGATCCCCAAGGATCCCCAGTTGCTCTCACAGGTCTTGCTGGAACGGAAGTCGATAACTCACCTCTCTTCACTGTGGCATTTTTAGCTCTTCTGAATCTCTCCTGGACTTTTGACTTTGGGACTAAAATCACACAAAATGGTAAGGAAACGTCCAAGGCCAGAAATAGCTTTTGATCTCTTCAGAAATGCTCTGGTGCAGTGGAAAACTTTAGGTTTGCTATCCAGCGGGCCTGATCGCCAGTCCTGTCCCGTCTATAACTAGTTGCATTTCCTCGGTCTAATGGCATAATCTTTAAAAGCCTAAGTTTGCTTAACTAGAAAGTGGGCATAAACGCACGACCTTTTGTGGTGAAGACTGAGGGTAACATAGGTTTGGATTGTTATCGCTGAACTCAGTGAGTGACCAGAGCACGTCTGGAAAGGACTCTCGGGCACCCCTGCAAAGAAAGAGCTGTGCACGGACGGTCCCAGCATCTGCGGTCTGATTCTAAAGGGTTTCATGTGCTCTCCTTCCCCCTCTCGCCCCAGCTCCCTTCCCCAAACCACAGTTATGCAAGCTGAGCCAGCTCCAGAGTTTAGGGCCCACCATGCTACTGAGCAATTTACTTACAACATGCTTGACGATGGTATTTCAGGGAAATTTAATTACTCTACCAAAAGAAAAATCACTGTGACTTTTGGTTAGGAAAGCAATTGCAATTCTTAACTCCCAGCTTGGTGCTGGAGCAAAAGGATCCTTCTGTGGGCTCTTCCGCCTGAAGTAGGTTAGCTCTGCAGGTAATTCCTCCCTGTTTGTCTCCAGATGCCTCCATGCTTGCTTCACAGAGCCATGTAGGCACACAGGGAAACTGCCCACGGGTAGCGGCCTCCTGGCGACCCAGTGCATCATCAGTGATGTTCCTCAAATCTCCCCCATTTCTTCCAGTCTTAGACATTGAGACATAAAGGTGACTGTGCTTTCTCCACTGTGCTTCTTGACTTTAGAAGCCATGATCCTAGGGACGAAGTTTGGCTCATTCTGTATGTGTTTATTCCCAGATGCTGTTTTTCAGCTTTGGCTAATATGTGGATGGAACAAATGTACAGCTATTGGGATTCTGCTTTGCTTGTAAAATGCCTACCATGTTTTTTGCATGATGGATTGTATAGAAATGCCAGATTATATTCTTATAGCAAATAAAAAGATGCTTTTAAAGGACTTTCTTGTATGATTCGCCTTTTTCTTCTCCAGGATTCTGGGATTCATTTGGAAAGAGTTAGATTTTCCCTATGCCTGGCACGATTCAGTCCTGAATATCTCGTTAAGATGAATGACACAACAAGCTTCTCAGTCGGGTTCCTGATTGTATAGGTGGTAGGTGTTTTTAAAACCACCTTGTCCCTATACCGCAAACCCAATCGATTACTTTGTTAGTACGAGTTACGCATAATACCAGCTAGTCTGTAGGTAAACACCTGTGTGATTAACTCAGTTTCTGTCATTCCAGGCGAAGCTATGTAGTTGGAAAGAACTGACATTCTGAGGCTAGAAAAACCTACCATTAAATCTTGGCTCCCTTTTGTTTGCTCTGGGAGCTCCAGCAAGTTTTGGAATTCCTCTGAACCTCAGTTTCCTCGGCCGTAAACTGCTAGTAGTAATAGCCCCTGGCTCGGCACAGCGCAGGGCTGAGAATACGGTGAGGGCATCACTAAATAGGCGCTACTATCTCTTGGAGAAAGAGTAGAGTGTAGTAAAAAGTCAGGCTTTTGAGTTAGAGAGCCATGTCCCTTACTAGTTCTGTGGCCTCAGGGACGTTGGTCAGATTCTGTATCTTCAGTAAAAAGAAGTTAATAATTTAACTAATAATTTGATTAATAATAGCTAGCCACCTGGCTGTTCTCCCAGGTACCGATTTCTGCCTCACACTGCACTTCAGTCTTTAATGTGCATTTCAGCATTCGGTTGGAAATCTGACATCCCGGCCCTCAGCTCTGCCTTCGCCTGTGTTTCCCCTCACCCTTGGCGTTCACGGGCTTCCATCTTTTATCTGTTACGGCTCCTTCTCACTCTCGTGTTCCGCATCTTTGCACCCTTGACCACCCCTGGCACCTTACTCATACAGTTCTGTCCCTCATCTGTTCCCGGTCATCCCATCTCATCTGCCACACCGAATCCCTTAATTTTTCCAAATTTCCACCAACACTAGCCTATGGCATACAAGGGACGTTGCCCAGATGATGGCACAACAGGACAACTACATAAATTAAAAATCCAACAAAAATATCAGCTAGTCTCGGATTTCTCATGGTCGTGTCTTCCTTAGACACCGATTTCCCTGTGTCTTCTTGGATCTCTCCTTCTACGAAGACCTTTCTCCCCTCTTGAACTTTAAATTCCTGTGAATGTGCAGAGCAGTGCATCTCTTACTCCTGACACCACACAAGCTCAAGGCATTTTTAAAGCTTATGAACTCACTCTGCTGCACAAAGGGCATTTACTCTGGGTCCTGCTCCTATAAGCACAGAAAACTGACAGAAGCTTCAAATGGTATTTTGTTTTTCTTTGTAATATAATCCAAGCACAGCTACCTTGTAATATAATCCAATTCTTAGGCAGGCCCAGTCCCTGTAAGAAAAGGGCAGTATAAATTATTCTCTCCATCTTCCTACCACACCTCTGCCAAGAAAAAGTCTACAAGTGTTCTGGAGGCTTTGGCCGGGGGCAGGGGGGGGGTGTTGGGGTTTTTTTTGTTTGTTTGTTTTTTGTGTTTCCATCTGGTAGTAATACTAATTTCACATGGGTAGGGCAGTGACTGTCACTCATAGGTGCTCAGAGAACGCTGATTTCTTTCTCTTCCTACCTCTTTCTACCCCAAGCCAGTTAAACCTTCCCAGGAACTCATCCACTGAGATTTTGAAATAGGGAGGGTCCTCCAGCGCTCTTATTGTTATGATTTATAATTCCTGTGAGGTAGAGGGGAAAAGTGGAGATAGTTGATAACCACTATTTTAAGTATAGGATTTCCATAAAGATCCATGTTCTTGGGACACTCAGGGGGCTCAGTCAGTTAAGCATCTACCTTTGGCTCAGGTCACGATCCCAGGGTCCTGGGATCGAGTCCCACATCAGGTTCCTTCCTCAGTGGGGAGCCTGCTTCTCCCTCTGCCTCTGCCTGCTGCTCCCCCTGCTTGTGCTCTCTTTCTGTCTCTGACAAATAAAAAAATAAAATCTTTAAAAAAAATTCCATGTTCCTAAGACAGATGGAAGGCCACTTATTTACCTGCGAAGTTTGAATTTATTTCCTCATTGACTGCCAACTTCACTTGATCAATTACACTCTCTTTGATCCATTTCCAATCCAAAAAACCCCCAAAACTATTGGGCTGACATCTTGATTTATTGGGAGTCTGTCAAGTTAGATGTGAGGATTTGTTAGGACTGGGAGTTTCATGTGGGTGAAGGATTAATGATTTGGCTCCAGGTGCCCAGGGAAAGGCCAGGAGAGCCAGAGAAGTTTCTGCAGTATGGTAGATGTAGGTGGTAGCCTTTCCTGGTGGTACGGTTTAAAGACTAATTTAGGAGATTTATGAGCATTCATTATGCTTTTTTTATATTTAAAGAACATGAAAACTGCTTTTGGGGACTAGCAAGTGATAGTAACTACAGAATACTGTATTCAATTGTGTATTTTAATGCTCAGCTTGGATTCTCTGTGCATGTTCTGTGGCATGCTTTGTTTTGTACACTTGAGGAAGAGCTCCAGCTGACCCGTGCTTATAGAGGCACCCTGCCTAGAAACCAGCCATTATGGAAACAATTCATTTATGATTATTGCCCTTTTAGCATCTCTTATGACTTACTGGGTAAAAAAGATTCCACACTTTAAGGCACAATGGTAAAAGGATATTAAGTAAAGGTAACACAGAGACAAATATCCAATTACAGCTGCTAAAAACTAAAATTATATAACACTGCTCTAGCC